ATTGTTTTATTTGTTTTTATGTGTCACTGTACAGCAATTTGGCTACCCTTGTGGTTGTTTTAAATGTGCTATAGAAATAAAGTTGATTGATTGATTGATTTTTTTTTTTTTGGTTTTCTTTCTTTCTTTATTTTTTTTTTGAGATCTCTTTTTGAAGAGTTTTTTTTTTTTTTTAAAGTACTTCCTTACTTCGAGGAAGTTACTTCTTCTTCCACTTCTCAGGCTTTCTTAACCCCAAGAAGTGTCTTGTTTGTTTCCAGACTGAAGAAGGTGGTTTGGTGGCATTAGAGGTTGGTGTCTCTGCTGGTCCTGCTGTTCCAACTAGTTCTGGAGATCCAGCAGTCACTTCGATTTCTAAAGCTCCTGCCAGTTCTTCAGCTCCAGAAGTTTCTGCAGTTTTCTCCAACTCCATGCAAAACTGCTCGATGTCCATGTCCATGAAGTCCTGCTCCTGAAGCGTCATCTCACTTTGCCTGATGCCTGTCTCTCGAAGTTGAAGCTCAGTTGAGAGTTCATTTGTTTTTTTGTTTTTTTCATTGTTAAAGCTGGTTTCTTGGGCCACTTTAAGCTCCTTGTTGTCCATCATACCGGCTGTCTGGATGTAGAGCTGTTGTTTCAGCTCCTCCAGCTCAGCCCAGTGCCTCCTCTCTGTTTCAAAAGCTGCCTGCTGCAGAACAGCAATCTTCTCCGTCATGGAGTCCTGTTCGGCTCTCAGGATCTGGATGGTCTGTTCCTGTAAGAGTCCATCATGGTGAGCCTGATTTTGCAGCTCACGCTGAAGGGTCTCAACTTCCTGTTTCGCAGCAGTGAGATCAGTTGCATACTGGAATTTCAGTGCTTGGTATGAGGTTCTTGTCTTCTCCTGTTCTTCATGGAGGACCGTGTTTCTTTCAGTCAGTTCCTGGACTTGTGTTGTGAGCCTCTCATTTTCCACAATATGTGCCACCTTCAGCTCCTCGTAATCGACATGAAGATCCTTCTTCTTCTTCTGCCGGCTCGTGTCCCTCACCTTAAGAGCAATTCTGTGTTTGGAGAGGGTCTCCTCTGAGCTGTACTTTTGAAGCATCTGCAGCTCCTTTTTGAGCTCCTTCCCTTTGTTAATGTACACTTCCTTGAGAGCCCTTTGCCTGGTCAGCTTCTGATGAATCACCTCCAACTCCTGGCTGAGCAAGAGTGTTCGGTTCTTCTCTCTCTCCAGCTGTCCAGTGAGCCTCTGTTGAGTCACCTCCAACTCCTGGCTGAGCAAGAGTGTTCGGTTCTTCTCACTCTCCAGCTGTCCAGTGAGCTGAGCCACAGTCCTGCGGAGTGTCTCCATCTCTCTGTCCCTCAAGTAGAAGGGCCTGTTAATCCTGGGTCGGTTTGTTGGTCGCTGCATTGTCTTTGACTGTTTGTAGTCTCAGAGTTCCGCTGCTAAAAGATTTCGATTGTCTCTTTCTTTAAGTGTAGCTACTCGCTGAAAGGTTCAAACGATACCCTGGACAGCTGCTCTACTTCCAGTTAGTAACACGAGATGAAAGCCATGATGATGTCATAATGATGTCATCACGGAATTGTTCCTTTGATGCAATATTCTCTTGTTGTTTGTTTACATTTGAATTTTTCACATTTAAATGTAAAAAAAAAAAGCACACCCTATAACAATCATGTATTTTTCAAACCTGCTGTTAACCCACATTGATTTGAGCTGTTTTTGTAATAGATGCTTTATGAATTGATATGTATTGATGGGTTAAATAAGAAAACTTAGTATGACACACCAGCTGTTAAACTGAACTTTACAGACGCCATCTTGCCTGTGTACTTCTGTCCATTGTTGAACCAAAATTAAAAAATAGTTCTCTTTAAATGTACAAATCATATTTACTCATGAAGATAAAGTCATTATTGATTATACATTGCAGATATACTTTCCCCTGAACTCTATATTAATCAGTTATCCAAAAGCTTTTCCTCTGCTGATGAAAAGTGAAAACAAGAGTCCTGCAAGGATTAAAACTGACATGGGCCTACTTAGCATGCGAAATTCAGAGAAATTTTAGCACTTTTTGACAACAGCAAGAGTAAATCAGAATTAACTCTCATTGGGACACACAAACCCCTCCACCACGGTAAGGTGGTAGCTCGAGGAGGGGGATAAAAACCCTCCCATGGGACGGAAAACCGCAAGGTTTATTTTATCTTTTGTGTGAAAAACACCGGGTTATGGGTGCTTTTGTTTGTTGTTTTTTAATTTTCTTTCCAGTAGTTTTTTTTTTTTTTCCCATGTTGATGTTTTTTTTTCTTTTTTGTTTTTTCATCAGTTGTCTTAATTTATTTTTGTTTTTGGAGATTTCTTTTTGAAGAGTTTTTTTTTTTTTTTAAGTACTTCCTTACTTCGGGGAAGTTACTTCTTCCACTTCTCAGGCTTTCTTAACCCCAAGAATCAGAAATATTTCTTTTTTGTTTTTTAGTTTTCTTAGGGTGTTTTTTTGTTGTTGTTGTTTTTTTTGTTTTCAGAAATACTCTTCTTTTTCTTTTTTTAGTTTTCTCTTTTTTCTGCCTGTTTTAAGGGTTTTCGACCTAGGCTCCCTCTCACCCTACCTTAAAGAGGTCGTCACTAATCTGGGAGTTAAATTTGACCCTGATTTTAAATTTGACAAGCAGATCAGCGGGGTGGTACAAAAAAGTTTTTATCAGCTACGCCAAATAGCGAAGGTGAAGCCCATTTTATCAAGACCTGACCTGGAAAAATTAATCCATGCTTTTATCACTACCCGTCTTGATTACTGCAACTCCTTGTACGTAGGGATTAGCCAGGCTTCCCTTGCCCGCCTGCAGCTTATGCAGAACTCTGCTGCACGTCTCCTGACACAGACCCGCAGGCGTGAGCACATCACCCCCATCCTGGCGTCCTTACACTGGCTCCCTGTTCAGTACAGAATTCATTTTAAGCTTTTAGCATTTGTTTTTAAGGGCCTGAACAACCTTGCTCCACCCTATATTTCGGAGATGCTACAGCCTTATTGCCCACCCCGACCCCTAAGATCAGCTGATCAGCTTTTACTGACCGTCCCCAGTACAAGGCTGAAGCTCAGAGGGGACAGAGCATTTGCCGCTGCTGCCCCTAAGCTCTGGAATGAGCTTAGGGGCAGAGCCATGCCAGAGCCACCACTAGCCATAATAAGGAGGGGGGTGGGTGAGGGTGGGAGGGTTACTCAGTTCACTTATTTATGCTTTTTAGGGTGCTGCACATTACATGGTACTGTTTCCAAGCTAAGCCTGAACTGCTTTTCACAAACTTTGAGAAAGTCAACTGGCCAAACAGTCTTCCTTAAATTCCTTCAGAGTATGGGTCATCAGCTGTACACACAGAATATATATACTCTTCATGTAAACACGTAGAAAGAGTCAAACTCGCTAACTGCATTACTTTGAGTCAATAACATCCAGAATATTTTCTTACAATAAGAGACTGAACTTCTGTCAGGCATATTTCTGGTGGATTGCCTTAAAATTATCAGTATAAAATGCTCTTATCTCTTTAGATGAACATAAATGCCAGCAAAATACAGATGTGGTTAATCTAATCCCAGTCCCAGTTTTGGTCAAACAGAAAAAAACTTCACAGGCTGTGAACTTTAAGAAGAAATCACACCAAATGCAGTGCCAGGGTGCCTCCAAACAGGCAAAGTGCAGACTGAGAGCTGTTCAAAGTCAAAAGCTGCATTTCTTTTCATAAAGGAGATCACATTCCTGATTTATGACATCTGCTGATCCTTTCCTGCTATTTAACACTAGATGTCTTTTCTTTGGGTCTTTTTTAGCAGAGAAAAACATCCCTCAACATTAGCTTGATCGATTCTTCGCTCTTTTTTTTTCTTTACATTAATAAATAGGATGTCATTTTAGGTCCACTCTTGACAGGGTAAGCAGCCTGAAAAAGCACCGACGTCTTGTCCGACTTGCTTCCAATGACTTTGACCGGCCTGGTATTCTCATGCTGGGTACAAACGGGGCACCACCCGGGCAGTTCTCCTGGACAGCGGGAAGACTCGTGTTTCCCTTCAGCACCATCGTTTCATGAGTCCCCCAGAGTTAAAGACCGGGAGCCCGACTTTCCAACAGCACAAACTCCTCCATCCACTTTTAACCTCTTCTTTTTCAAACACAGCCCCGGGTTAGAAGCTAGCGAATGCTGCAGTCGCTTGGACTCCATATGCATCGTCCTTCTGTCCGCCCTCCTCCTCCTCCTCCTCCTCTTCCTCTAGGCGTCTTGACACGGGACCAGAGAATGTGAAGCCCCGCATAGCCCCTGCTGACACTTGCTTTTCAGCGCCATAACCGCTCAAAAGTCTTTGGACAGTCAACTCACATGTTTCGTCTAGTTCCCCGAACATGAAATCCCAAAGGTAGCCGAGGAAAGGGCCGTTATTCCCGGGGATTCAAAGTCGTGCTGCGCGCTCCCGCTGCAGTATGAGGAAGCAGGGAGGGTGTGGTCGGAGCTGAACGGCTGCTGGACTGGCTGAAGTTCCAGGAAGGGAACGGCACAACTGACCCTTCGCCGAAATTTCACTTCCCGGCGGTCAGTGAAGAAGTTTCTTTCTCATGTTAACGACGGAGGTTTATTTCCCGGTGTTACCTCATATTCTTCCATAACTGCAGGACAGAAATCCAAAAGTCTCGTGATAATGTTTTTCTGCCCTAAAAATGTTTCTGTTCACATTTATTTGATTAAACGCTCATTCCAGTCATATTGTTCTTTTTTTTTTTTTAACAAATGTTGAACTTGCAACTGACTTCACCTTAATCCATGTCATCTCCATTCTGATAGATAGATAGATAGATAGATAGATAGATAGATAGATAGATAGATAGATAGATAGATCTGACTAAAAAAAGAACAAAAAACAGTCTATTATATAGACCACATTAAAATCCAAATAATAATACCATATCATTATCAAAATAAAGAACATTTATTTCACATTAATTCATACTTATTCTAAATTGTTATAAACTCATCATTCCTCAGTTTTTACTCCAGACAAAATAAGAGCTTTGGTTTCACAAATGTAGTGCCGCTGGCCTCGACAGACAACATCATCCCAGGAGTTCAGCCAGCCTTTCTGTCCAACAGTCTTTGGAGGGACAATGACAACACAGTCCTGTCCTGCACGGTCTTTGTCCCATTGAGCCGCAGCATTGTTTGGCTCTCCAGGCATCCAGAACTTCAAATCTGACTTGGACTTGATACCATTTACCCACACAAATCTGTTATCCTGCACCATGTCCTGCAACCCGATCCATGCTGAATGGAACAGTACATTTGGATGCTGCTGTGTAAACTGGAAAGTCATGTTGGTCAGAAATGCCTGGTCTGCAGCATTCAAGACAACAGCCAGGTCAGCACCTTCATTAAAACACTCCCTACGAGCATCTTCCCACTTCATTGGTTGTGATGCCAAATGGAAGCAGCGTGTGGCGTGCTCAGCCCAACCAGGAAGGCAGCGTGAACATTGCAGGGTGCCTTTATCACAGAATCTCCAGAGGAAAGATAGTTTCTCCGACATCAGAATTGATTGTTGACGTTGATTTTCAGCTTTTAGTTGAGTTGAGGTCTGCCTTTCATTGATCAAAAGCTGTTGATATTTGATTTTGTCTTTTCTGAAAGAGTCACGGTTTTCCATAGTAGAATTCAATATGATTTTCATCTCCTCAATCTGCACTTGAAGCTGTGACTTTTCTGCCATGGTGTGGTTAAGTCTTCGGCTCAGTCTCTGATTTTCTTCCATGGAGTAGCTCAGACTCAGGCTCAGTTTTTGATTTTCTTCCTTGGTGCTGTTCAGACTCAGGCTCAGGTTCAGTTTCTCTTCCATGGTGTAGTTCAGACTCAGCCTCAGTTTTTGATTTTCTTCCTTGGTGTGGTTTAATCTTTGGCTCAGATTCAGATTCTCTTCCATGGTGTAGTTTAGTCTTCTGCTCAATTTCTGATTTTCTTCCATGGTGTTGTTCAGACTCAGGCTCAGGTTCAGATTCTCCTCCATGGTGTAGTTCAGACTCAGCCTCAATTTTTGATTTTCTTCCACGGTGAAGTTCAGACTCTGGCTCACTTTTTGATTTACTTCCATGGTGTGGTTTAGTCTTCGGCTCAGTCTCTGATTTTCTTCCATGGAGTAGCTCAGACTCAGGCTCAGTTTTTGATTTTCTTCCTTGGTGTGGTTGAGTCTTCGGCTCAGTTTCAGATTATCTTCCATGGTGTAGTTCAGACTCAGGCTCAATTTCTGATTATCTTCCATGGTGTAGTTTAGTCTTCTGCTCAATTCCTGATTTTCTTCCATGGTGTTGTTCAGACTCTGGCTCAGGTTCAGATTCTCCTCCATGGTGTAGTTCAGACTCAGCCTCAGTTTTTGATTTTCTTCCACGGTGAAGTTCAGACTCTGGCTCACTTTTTGATTTACTTCCATGGTGTGGTTTAGTCTTCGGCTCAGTCTCTGATTTTCTTCCATGGAGTAGCTCAGACTCAGGCTCAGTTTTTGATTTTCTTCCTTGGTGTGGTTGAGTCTTCGGCTCAGTTTCAGATTATCTTCCATGGTGTAGTTCAGACTCAGGCTCAATTTCTGATTATCTTCCATGGTGTAGTTTAGTCTTCTGCTCAATTTCTGATTTTCTTCCATGGTGTTGTTCAGACTCAGGCTCAGGTTCAGATTCTCTTCCATGGTGTAGTTCAGACTCAGCCTCAGTTTTTGATTTTCTTCCACGGTGAAGTTCAGACTCTGGCTCACTTTTTGATTTACTTCCATGGTGTGGTTCAGTCCCATGTGTGTTGATTCTAGAAGCTGTCTCAGCTGACTCCTTTCTTTCTGTAACTGCTTAACATTGATGCTCAGGCCAACAATGACAGTGATTAGGACTAAAAGCAGCACCAGGAAAACGACATGAAGAGTGCCTATCCAGCCAGATTGAAGTCTCTGTATGATTCGGTTATCAATCTCCTTTTTCTCTGTCTCATCTTGATCTGGTCTGTCTTGAAGTCTCTGTATGATGCTGTTATCAATCTCCGTTTTCTCTGTCTCATCTTGATCTGGTCTGTCTTGAGCCATTTCCTCCACAGAGCTTTCAGATGGGAAGCTAAAAGAAAAAGATGAGAAGCACTGAAGATCTTGTTGTAAAGGGTCTGAAAGCTAAGTCTTTCTGTACAATATCTGTCATTCACAAACTGATGTGCACAAATCTGAGACATGATAAATATTGGAAAATTCCAAATACTCTCATTCTCTGAGTCGTCTGAATGAGCTGTATGAATGTCAGCAGTTCTGACCCGACCCAAACTGTTGGTATCTACACAAACAGAGCCTTAACCTCCAAACACATGACTTCATTTCAATAAAGTTAGGGCGCTGTGTACATACTTTATTTCAGTCTGTTAGTATATGACACATTCAATACAAACAAGGAAAAATTTTCATGTGAATGAAAAGGAGCAGAAAGAAAAAGGTTGAGGCGCGGTTTTATAGAAACACCTTCACACAGGGACCCCTTGAACCGTTTTTTTCTCCTTACCTTAGGTGGACGTGCTGTGGATCCGTCATTTCGCCGTGGGTTTCCTCTGACATGTTTTCCATCTTTGCTTTTCGCTTTCTTCCACGTTTTTACCAGTAGGTCTATGTTTCACTTTGAAATATCCAACTTCAGTTTTTTAAAACTAAACAGTTGATTCAGTTGCCATGACAGCCACTGCAGAGTCGTATTTTTAAATAATTTTAAATAATTTAATACTAATGATTATTAGTATAGTAGAGGCACCTGAACAGCAGCAGAAATAGCCTTGGTTGTGTCTAAATTTAATAATCTTTACATTAAGTGTAGCTACTCGCTGAAAGGTTCAAACGATACCCTGGACAGCTGCTCTACTTCCACTTAGTAACACGAGATGAAAGCCATGATGATGTCATAATGATGTCATCACGGAATTGTTCCTTTGATGCCATATTCTCTTGTTGTTTGTTTACATTTGAATTTTTCACATTTAAATGTAAAAAAAAAGCACACCCTATAACAATCATGTATTTTTCAAACCTGCTGTTAACCCACATTGATTTGAGCTGTTTTTGTAATAGATGCTTTATGAATTGATATGTATTGATGGGTTAAATAAGAAAACTTAGTATGACACACCAGCTGTTAAACTGAACTTTACAGACGCCATCTTGCCTGTGTACTTCTGTCCATTGTTGAACCAAAATTAAAAAATAGTTCTCTTTAAATGTACAAATCATATTTACTCATGAAGATAAAGTCATTATTGATTATACATTGCAGATATACTTTCCCCTGAACTCTATATTAATCAGTTATCCAAAAGCTTTTCCTCTGCTGATGAAAAGTGAAAACAAGAGTCCTGCAAGGATTAAAACTGACATGGGCCTACTTAACATGCGAAATTCAGAGAAATTTTAGCACTTTTTGACAACAGCAAGAGTAAATCAGAATTAACTCTCATTGGGACACACAAACCCCTCCACCACGGTAAGGTGGTAGCTCGAGGAGGGGGATAAAAACCCTCCCATGGGACGGAAAACCGCAAGGTTTATTTTATCTTTTGTGTGAAAAACACCGGGTTATGGGTGCTTTTGTTTGTTGTTTTTTAATTTTCTTTCCAGTAGTTTTTTTTTTTTTTTTTTTTAGAATTTTTTTTTTTTTTTACCATGTTGATGTTTTTTTTTTTTTTTTTTTTTTTTTAATAAGTTGTGTTAATTTATTTTTGTTTTTGGAGATTTATTTTTGAAGAGTTTTTTTTTTTTTAAGTACTTCCTTACTTACTTCTTCCACTTCTCAGGCTTTCCTAATCCCAAGAATCAGAAACATTTCTTTTTTGTTTTTTAGTTTTCTTAGGGTGTTTTTTTGTTGTTGTTTTTTTTTTTTTTTCAGAAATACTCTTCTTTTTCTTTTTTTTAGTTTTCTCTTTTTTCTGCCTGTTTTAAGGGTTTTCGACCTAGGCTCCCTCTCACCCTACCTTAAAGAGGTCGTCACTAATCTGGGAGTTAAATTTGACCCTGATTTTAAATTTGACAAGCAGATCAGCGGGGTGGTACAAAAAAGTTTTTATCAGCTACGCCAAATAGCGAAGGTGAAGCCCATTTTATCAAGACCTGACCTGGAAAAATTAATCCATGCTTTTATCACTACCCGTCTTGATTACTGCAACTCCTTGTACGTAGGGATTAGCCAGGCTTCCCTTGCCCGCCTGCAGCTTATGCAGAACTCTGCTGCACGTCTCCTGACACAGACCCGCAGGCGTGAGCACATCACCCCCATCCTGGCGTCCTTACACTGGCTCCCTGTTCAGTACAGAATTCATTTTAAGCTTTTAGCATTTGTTTTTAAGGGCCTGAACAACCTTGCTCCACCCTATATTTCGGAGATGCTACAGCCTTATTGCCCACCCCGACCCCTAAGATCAGCTGATCAGCTTTTACTGACCGTCCCCAGTACAAGGCTGAAGCTCAGAGGGGACAGAGCATTTGCCGCTGCTGCCCCTAAGCTCTGGAATGAGTTGCCCTTGAAAATTAGACAGGCCTCCTCATTTTCTGTTTTTAAATCCCTTTTAAAAACGTACTTTTACTCATTGGCTTTTAGTACATTGTAGTGTTAATTTGTTTTTTATCATCTTAGCACTTGCCGTGAGCCTCCTTATTTATACACTTATTTATTCTTTTGCATTACTGTATTTCTGCTTGCTTTATCTTGTTCTTTGATTGTTTTATTTGTTTTTATGTGTCACTGTACAGCAATTTGGCTACCCTTGTGGTTGTTTTAAATGTGCTATAGAAATAAAGTTGATTGATTGATTGATTTTTTTTTTTTTGGTTTTCTTTCTTTCTTTATTTTTTTTTGAGATCTCTTTTTGAAGAGTTTTTTTTTTTTTTTAAAGTACTTCCTTACTTCGAGGAAGTTACTTCTTCTTCCACTTCTCAGGCTTTCTTAACCCCAAGAAGTGTCTTGTTTGTTTCCAGACTGAAGAAGGTGGTTTGGTGGCATTAGAGGTTGGTGTCTCTGCTGGTCCTGCTGTTCCAACTAGTTCTGGAGATCCAGCAGTCACTTCGATTTCTAAAGCTCCTGCCAGTTCTTCAGCTCCAGAAGTTTCTGCAGTTTTCTCCAACTCCATGCAAAACTGCTCGATGTCCATGTCCATGAAGTCCTGCTCCTGAAGCGTCATCTCACTTTGCCTGATGCCTGTCTCTCGAAGTTGAAGCTCAGTTGAGAGTTCATTTGTTTTTTTGTTTTTTTCATTGTTAAAGCTGGTTTCTTGGGCCACTTTAAGCTCCTTGTTGTCCATCATACCGGCTGTCTGGATGTAGAGCTGTTGTTTCAGCTCCTCCAGCTCAGCCCAGTGCCTCCTCTCTGTTTCAAAAGCTGCCTGCTGCAGAACAGCAATCTTCTCCGTCATGGAGTCCTGTTCGGCTCTCAGGATCTGGATGGTCTGTTCCTGTAAGAGTCCATCATGGTGAGCCTGATTTTGCAGCTCACGCTGAAGGGTCTCAACTTCCTGTTTCGCAGCAGTGAGATCAGTTGCATACTGGAATTTCAGTGCTTGGTATGAGGTTCTTGTCTTCTCCTGTTCTTCATGGAGGACCGTGTTTCTTTCAGTCAGTTCCTGGACTTGTGTTGTGAGCCTCTCATTTTCCACAATATGTGCCACCTTCAGCTCCTCGTAATCGACATGAAGATCCTTCTTCTTCTTCTGCCGGCTCGTGTCCCTCACCTTAAGAGCAATTCTGTGTTTGGAGAGGGTCTCCTCTGAGCTGTACTTTTGAAGCATCTGCAGCTCCTTTTTGAGCTCCTTCCCTTTGTTAATGTACACTTCCTTGAGAGCCCTTTGCCTGGTCAGCTTCTGATGAATCACCTCCAACTCCTGGCTGAGCAAGAGTGTTCGGTTCTTCTCTCTCTCCAGCTGTCCAGTGAGCCTCTGTTGAGTCACCTCCAACTCCTGGCTGAGCAAGAGTGTTCGGTTCTTCTCACTCTCCAGCTGTCCAGTGAGCTGAGCCACAGTCCTGCGGAGTGTCTCCATCTCTCTGTCCCTCAAGTAGAAGGGCCTGTTAATCCTGGGTCGGTTTGTTGGTCGCTGCATTGTCTTTGACTGTTTGTAGTCTCAGAGTTCCGCTGCTAAAAGATTTCGATTGTCTCTTTCTTTAAGTGTAGCTACTCGCTGAAAGGTTCAAACGATACCCTGGACAGCTGCTCTACTTCCAGTTAGTAACACGAGATGAAAGCCATGATGATGTCATAATGATGTCATCACGGAATTGTTCCTTTGATGCAATATTCTCTTGTTGTTTGTTTACATTTGAATTTTTCACATTTAAATGTAAAAAAAAAAGCACACCCTATAACAATCATGTATTTTTCAAACCTGCTGTTAACCCACATTGATTTGAGCTGTTTTTGTAATAGATGCTTTATGAATTGATATGTATTGATGGGTTAAATAAGAAAACTTAGTATGACACACCAGCTGTTAAACTGAACTTTACAGACGCCATCTTGCCTGTGTACTTCTGTCCATTGTTGAACCAAAATTAAAAAATAGTTCTCTTTAAATGTACAAATCATATTTACTCATGAAGATAAAGTCATTATTGATTATACATTGCAGATATACTTTCCCCTGAACTCTATATTAATCAGTTATCCAAAAGCTTTTCCTCTGCTGATGAAAAGTGAAAACAAGAGTCCTGCAAGGATTAAAACTGACATGGGCCTACTTAGCATGCGAAATTCAGAGAAATTTTAGCACTTTTTGACAACAGCAAGAGTAAATCAGAATTAACTCTCATTGGGACACACAAACCCCTCCACCACGGTAAGGTGGTAGCTCGAGGAGGGGGATAAAAACCCTCCCATGGGACGGAAAACCGCAAGGTTTATTTTATCTTTTGTGTGAAAAACACCGGGTTATGGGTGCTTTTGTTTGTTGTTTTTTAATTTTCTTTCCAGTAGTTTTTTTTTTTTTCCCATGTTGATGTTTTTTTTTTCTTTTTTGTTTTTTCATCAGTTGTCTTAATTTATTTTTGGTTTTGGAGATTTCTTTTTGAAGAGTTTTTTTTTTTTTTTAAGTACTTCCTTACTTCGGGGAAGTTACTTCTTCCACTTCTCAGGCTTTCTTAACCCCAAGAATCAGAAATATTTCTTTTTTGTTTTTTAGTTTTCTTAGGGTGTTTTTTTGTTGTTGTTGTTTTTTTTGTTTTCAGAAATACTCTTCTTTTTCTTTTTTTTAGTTTTCTCTTTTTTCTGCCTGTTTTAAGGGTTTTCGACCTAGGCTCCCTCTCACCCTACCTTAAAGAGGTCGTCACTAATCTGGGAGTTAAATTTGACCCTGATTTTAAATTTGACAAGCAGATCAGCGGGGTGGTACAAAAAAGTTTTTATCAGCTACGCCAAATAGCGAAGGTGAAGCCCATTTTATCAAGACCTGACCTGGAAAAATTAATCCATGCTTTTATCACTACCCGTCTTGATTACTGCAACTCCTTGTACGTAGGGATTAGCCAGGCTTCCCTTGCCCGCCTGCAGCTTATGCAGAACTCTGCTGCACGTCTCCTGACACAGACCCGCAGGCGTGAGC